TTAATGTTTCTGTTTTTTTTTCTCTTTTTTTGCAGATATACAACTAGTAATAGTTTTTAAGTACTAAAACTATTACTAGTTGTATATCTGCGAATCCATGTTGGTATCCTAGAAATTGTTCCCGTTAGAAAATCAGCATCCTTAAATTTGGAGGCAATTTAGTCCTTAATTTTTAGATTTTCAGCCCTACCATAGGTAAAAAATTCTGTTCAGTACCATCCATGGCCATTTAAATCACTAATTTGTGAGTAAATTAAAAACATTCATTCTGATTAAAATTAATTTTGTGTTTCAGGTTGATAAGATCGCGGTTATTTGAAAGAATCAGTTGAAAAGTGATGTCTCAACCCGAAACATTCAGCCAATCAAGTAATGCGTCTCATGGAAATGGCGATGCACAGCAATCTTTGGACTCATTCTGGGACAGAGCACTTGAAGAAATTACAAAGCTTAGCATTGTAAGCCACTTCTTTTTTAAAAATAACAGAGTGTTAGTTGTGAGATTTTTTTTTATAGTTACTATAAAGAACGTTAGATATGGTGCGTTGCATTTTTAAAAAGTGCTTAAATGTGCTTATTTTCATTTTTTAAAAGCCCTTAAAAGTGCTTTTTACATTGGGTGTTTAATGTTCCCTTTTCGAAAATGAAAATTTTCTTTCTTTACCATGTTAATTTTCGCCAGGTATTATGCAAAAGCATGAGTTTCACATTGTTCTATTAAACATTTTAACAATTCATTGAACCACAATCTATTTCAGCTTACCGCCGGTTCATGGTGTATGAAAGCGCCAATCATTTTACATGTTTGATGAAATACTTGCGAGTTTGCATGTGGTTATAGTGAGCTAGGCTCTGTGAGATTATTGCACTCTTGTGTGCAACTCTGCTGCATTTCACTAGATATTCTCAATTTCAAGCTTCATTTTCCACCCTCTGAAATCAAACCAAAAAAAATCTGTTGGTCATATTTTAATGGCTAACATATCCAAGAAAAGAGTTCTTTGTCAAAAACTACTTACTTTATCTTGTAAGGTCTTCGAAAATTATTTTGCATTTTGTTAATGTATATAGTGCTTAAAAAGTACTTAAAAGGTGCTTATTTTTTGTTGAAAGATTGCACCCGGGTTGGATCATTGTTAAAGGAATGAGAACAAAGTCTTACTCCTCTATCCTTTAGTACTAGTTCATTCACAAATGAGAATCAATTATCCATTTACTGTGACAAGAAGATTGAAATCTATTTAATGTGTAAAGAAAGCTATTTTCCATTTACCTAATGTCTATGATCATTGAAAACTGAAGCACCATAATCTGATATTTTAAAATGAAAAAAATCTTTTGTTAGTACTGGTCTAATGAATCTCATATACGAAACGCAAATGACTTAGGTTTGATGTACAAAATTTCTTTTATTAAAGAATTTAAATTTATGTTTTGAAAAATTCTACTTTTGAACTATGTTCACGAATTCTTTTTTTATTCTTGTTGATTTCAAAACTCCTATAAAAGTAGTTCAAAAGTGGGCCAAACAGTTTAATGTGTACTTTATTAATTCTGTTTTTTTTCCTTTGTAAATTAATTGCTTTATAAGAAAATTTAATTATATTGAATTATTATGATATTAATTCTGCATAAATTCTTTTAGAACGATTTTAAAAGTCAAGAACTCCCTTTAGCTAGAATTAAAAAGATAATGAAGCTTGATGAAGATGTTAAGGTAATGAGTTTTTTATTTATTTTATTGCCTATTTTTTTAAATCCATTTTTGTATAAAGTTTTTGAAAAATTATAATTTATTTCATCAGATGATCAGTGCTGAAGCCCCTGTTTTATTTGCTAAGGCTGCAGAAGTGTTCATTACAGAGTTATCTTTACGAGCTTGGGTGCACACAGAAGACAATAAAAGACGAACTTTACAAGTAGGCTAATCTTCTCTATTAAGTGATGCAAAGGCTCACTGAAGTATCGTTATTATTAAATAATTGTGTACTTATTTTCTATAATAATTATTTTTTTCCCTTATTTTGATTTGTATATAATTTATGCTTAAGATACCTGCCTCTAAACCTTTGCGTTGTTAAAACACGTCAAGCATGTTGCTTAAGCAATTGTGAATTTTTTTACTTATAATTTAGAAAATTCTGATTTTTAAAAATCACATTTATTTCATTTAAATTTGTTTTTTTTCAATGGATGTGTTGACTAAGTATTGGCATAGATGGTTTTTAATGATTATTTAAAAATCTTGAATAAGACTATTTCAGGAAGTATAATTCATACAGTTTATTTGTTTAAATGCCATTTTAAAAATATTTATTTATAATTGCTACTATAAAACATAAATTTTGAAATTCGTTACACAGGGGTTCCGTTCCTCCTAAAAAGCTTTGCTATGTCAGAAATTCCAAAAAATTTACTACTGAAATTTTGTTAATTATTGCATTCTAAGTTAAAGATTCGAGGGATTAAAGCAATATATATTACAATATATATTACAAATAATATTTTATTCTGATCTGCTCCTATCAGCAAGCTATATTTGACTGTTATATAATTAAGCTTACTCTGCTATTTTAAGAGCACCATCTGGTAACAATAAAGGATACTTACATACATACTTAACAGAATACTATACCAGAATAGTGTCTTTTTAAAGACCCTGAAAAACCTAAGTTTCCTAACTAAATTAAGACCTAAAGTTTCTGAAAAAGTTCTACAGAAAATATTTGTTAAGTCATGCAGGCTCAAATTTTTTCTCAGAAGTTTAAGCTTTTCAAAATGCAATTTTTCCTATCCAACCTGAGTCAAAGTCATATAAAACTAACTGCATAAAGTAGGGGAAAGCTTATTTGAAATTTAATAACCAATAATAGTATTTTGTTAAAAAAAATAATAAAATAAAAGTTTTTAAATTATTGTCATCAAATGTTTTTTAATGTTTTCTTAAAATTATTATAGGAATGAATTTGACTTCACCACTACGTTATAAAGCTATGTAGACTAAATCTTTTATGTATGTATATGTAGGTGTGAATATTATTCTTATATTTGGATTAAGTAATGCTTGCTTAATATATTATACAAATTGATATGATTTATGGAATGTGTATTTTCAGTTTTGTAAATCTAGTATTTTATAATAAACTAAAGTACAACCTGTTACCCCCTAACAAAATTTTAAACTACCCCTAAAATTATCCAACTCTACTGCTGCTCCTCTTTTCATTTAAACTTGTTTTTTTTTTTTTTAATTCATTTGAAATGCTTCTATTTGGTATTAATATTAATGATATCAAATTTTCTCCAGAGAAATGATATTGCAATGGCAATCACAAAATACGATCAATTCGACTTCTTGATAGACATAGTTCCCAGGGAGGACATTAAGCCACCCAAAAGACAAGAAGATAATATCAGAACAGCTGCAATGCACCCAGACCAAGTTCAATATTACTTTCAGTTAGCTCAACAACACCAAGCTGCACTACAGCAACAGACACCTGCTCAACAGGGTCAACAGGCACAGATACAACAGGCCACCCCTCAACAAGTACGGAAACTTTTTTTATTTAAATTTTTAATGTTAAACTTTATATATGAGGGTGCCAATTTAGGATGTTCTTGCTACACACACATTTATATGGCTTCTAGCAGTTGGTCTTTGAATTGTTTGAATAATTCATTTGGAAAATGTTTTTTTTTTTTNTCTTGTAATGGTAGCACTTTTTAGTTTAAAGAATTTTGAAACTTAAAATCGTGCTTGGAATTGAATAAAATGCTGTATAAATTGTTTTTAAATTTTCATCAGTGCTTGGGCAAACATGGTGGTTCAAGTATGTATTAGTAGTTATTATTATTATTTTTGTATTTAAGTTATAGTTATTTATTATATATATTATGTATGATTTTTCCAATTTATATTTAAATCCTGATTTATGCAAATAATCATAAAATAGTTTCCAATATTTTTTATCAGAGGCCAGTTAATATGTAATAATCAACTCTGGCACTCATTATAAATGTATAGCATACCATTAATAAACATTTAATTCTAAAACCACAGTTGTTACTAATGTTTGTCAAATCTTTGTGATTGAATATTTTAATGAAATATTTTGCAAATCAGAGTTTGCTATTACCTGAAATTCGTTCTTATATACAGTACCCAAAGTTCTTATATACTTTCAGTTCCTGTATTCAATATACATGCTTAACTGTATTTAATGTATCTGATTTATTTATCTATCCAAGATATTGTCTATAAAATACATAAAATTTTTGCAATCTATCTACTAAAAGTTTCTTAGTGTTCCTAAAAGAATTAGTCTTTTTCGGAAATATAAATAATCGTTCTTTTTTTTTATAAAAAAAAATAGCAAAAAATAAAGGTTTTAATGTCATTGTCATCACATCAGAAGTAAAAGTTTTTTTAAGGAAGGGTAGGGTGTGAGAAAGATTTTTCTTTCTACTAAAACTATGTTAGGAACAAATTAGAATTTATCAACAGTTTATAAAGCTTTGTAGACTATCTGTTTTATATATGTAGATATGAATTAACTATACTGCTTGCTTAGTATGTTACAAAATTTTCTTGGTGTGCTATACAAGATCTGCATTTTTAATTTTATTTGTTGGATTTTAAGAATATCTCTTGCTACCCTGTTTATCATTTTCTTCTATAGCTCTACAGCCCCTGGTTTGTTCCACATTTCTATCCCATCTTCTTGTGTTTGACAGTCTTCTGTTTTGACTTCTCTCTCCTCATACTGATCTTCATTTTTCATTATTTCTCAAGTTTTTATTTTTTTATATCTGTCGTTGAACAGCTGACCCAGTTTATGGGTTTACAGCTACTAATGTTCTGCTCCAGAAGTCAGGAAACGTTTGGATCAGTACTCTCAGAGATATGATTTGTTTTGGGGACTTGTAGGACTTCGTGACTCGACAGATTTAGCGTGCATCAGTAATTATTTACTACATGGGGAGTCTTCGACTGGCTTGGGATCGAATCCACGAATTCTTGGACATGGGCCCAGTGCCATACCAACCAGGCTATTCCAGCCCATTTGTCAACGACGTTGTCTTTTTTCTGCGATCCCTGGACCTAATTCGCGTAGGTGTCTAGTTGATGATCTTTTTCAAGGCTAATTATTGTCTCTCCTCTCTGTGTGTACAAACCACGAAAGGCGCTGGGATTTTTATAAAGCAAACAATATTTCATCCGTATATAATTTTCTCAATCTCTAGTTTCATTCTAATTCTCCATTCACCTCTTAACATTAATTGGTCCAATTGTTCTATTCTGGACCTTTCTTTTAAACACCAGCAAGTAATTTTCCTCTTTTTTGGTCATTGTCCAGGTTTTATTTCCATATGTCACAATTGGTCTAATAATAGTTTTGTAAAGTCGTATTTTTAAAGATTTTGTAAGCAATATATTTTTCAATAGAAAACTGTATAAAAAGTATTACCGGTTTCCTATGTGTATTCCTTCCGAGTTACTTCCTGAATCGGTGGTGATAAGAGTCAAGTTAAATGAAACTATACAATCTTTCAAAATAAAAATGATCTTCAGTAAGTTTTGCTATTTGATCATTTGCAGTTTTACTTCTTTTCCGTGTACTTTACTTTTCCAGCATTACTTTTAAGTCCCACCTCCTCTACTGCTCTAATTAAGCATCTAGTGATGGAGATTAATACTGATCTTCTATTTAGAGTGACCAAATCATCAGCATTTTTTTTTTTTGTGTGTGAAACTTTTACAATACACGGACATTTTCTATTATCTATATCTGTTATATGTTTGTGTTTTCTTACCTTAAATTTTATTATGAACAAACTAATTTCTCATTTCAATAAAAGTTTTCATTTTGTGCTTTATATTAAATTAATAAATTATATACACCTCATAATAAATAGTAACCAATTACTCTAAAAAAAAAAGTTATGATGGAAGAAAAAATATATAGTTCAGACGAAATTTATAAATTGTACTTACTTTCTGTGTACATTATATATATATATATTAATCTGCCAAAGCAAATAAGGAATTACTGGAAAGTAATTAACAGGAGTAAACTGATTTATTTCACAAATTAGTGAGGATTATCCTCAATAGAAAACTCTTTATTCATGTTATAGTATAAAAGGGCATATGTATAATGTCTCCTCCCTTAACAGATTCAATTCGTACAACTCTTCCATTTTACTGCTGTATTGTACAGTCTTTTGCAATTATCTACACAATAAATAAGCATTTGGAAAACCTTCTCTTACAAGTAAAAATCAGTGAATGATTAGTTTTTTTTTACCTATCATAGAGAAATAAATTTTCAGTTCACATTGAAAGTAAAAATTTTCCCAGAGTAAAGAAATTCAAGTTCACCTGAAAAGATAATTCACATTAAGAGTGTTTTAATTAAAAGTTCTAGACTATTGTGAATGTGTAAATGCTTAATTAACGATTAAATTATAAATACATGAATGATAAAAATATAAGGCTTCATTTTAGTTTCTGATATTTTTAACTGATAGTAGATAAAAGAAAGCTAAAGATGCATGCAAATAAAATTTAAAGTTTCTATTGTTTTGCCTTATTATGAGTCTGTTCATTATAGTAATTCTGTATATTAATAGTCTTGTTTACATGATATGTGTAATTTAATTTTCAAAGTATAATTCCTCTCTTACAATTGAGGGCTTAATGCAGTTGATGCTATTTCTATAGATTCAACTTGTACAAGCTGGTGCAGCTGTTCAGCAAGTTGCTGCTACAACGCAAGCCCTCTCTGTTCAAACTGCGTCACCCACATTTTCAGTTCCATCCGTTTTACAAGTTCAAGCTGTAAATATCTATCTAAATATATCCACGTTTATTTGTTTATATATTTTTTTAAAGTGCTTGCATGCATTTTCTTTTTATTCTAAACTTTTTATCAAAGCTTTATTTCCGTATCTTATTTGTAGTAACTAGCAAAATATTTTTTTAAAAATTACTTTTTATCCTCAACCATTTTTCATGTTTATCTTATTACTATCTTTTTATGTTTACCCTTACTCACAATTCTGTTTTCCTCTTTTAATTGTCATTAAAGGTGTTATGTAATAGTTATTAAAACTGTTTAAGTATAATTTTATTTATTTAGGCTTATTTTCCAGCTGTCACATTTAATTCTTGATTGTTTATTATGGTTTTTCTAAATGGGATGTTTTATATGTTTTGCCATGACAAATCAGAAGTTATGAATTAGTAGCTTATTCTTTCTTAGATATTTATTGTTGTTAACCAACATTGGTCTCTTAAAGTAATAATTATTATAATTAAATAGTGATATTTTAAATGTTTATCTATGCTGTGTTTTTGAAATATTAGTCATTAATATTCAAATATAGAAATCTTATTCGTAATCTAAGCTTAAAAGAATGTTTAAAACTAAACTGTTGGTGACATAAAAATTTTACCATTATTTAATTTTTGTCATATCTTAAAATTTAAATCTGTGATATGCTCCCACATTTTGAAAATTATCTTGTAAAACAAATTTATTTTTCTAACATTTACCTTCAATTATTTAATTACGCTGCAAGATCAGAGCTGATTTGAGATTAATACAAAATTTAGGCTTGCAGATTAAGAGTGATAACTGTGTATTTATTTTAAGAAAATATTTTAACTCTAAGATAGTTAATTCTTGCTTCTAGTTATATATTTAATTCATCTTTAGGAATTCGCTTTTAAAAACAATTATTCAAGATTTGTATTTAGAGTCTTATTAAATATTATTCTCTATGTGTTTCCTAGGTATCAAATGAAACAGCACAACAGGCTCAAGCCGCACAGGTACAGGTGCAAGTTCAGAATGCACAACAGGTAATTCAAGGATCACTTTTAATATTACAGTGAACTGTGGCTACTACGATATCTGATACAACAATAACTCTATTGCGATAATGTTTTATGGTCCCGACAAACTTTCATATGAATTAATGTTATTCTCATATCAATATTACGCTATTCTCTGAAGCAATAAACCCCTGTAAAACGATCTTTTTTCTTCCAAATTTCAACCTTATTTTTTCCATTTATTATTGGTTTTCAAATAATGCAAAAAAAATCTTATCATATTTTTCCATTTTTTTCTGACAAGAAAAGACTCACTGCTGACCACGCCAAGAGCTTCCTTTCTTAGAATTGCCTCCCTTATCTCCTCCCTTATACCCTATTAAGAAGTCACAGGCGTAACATTCCTATCTGATTTCATTTCCTTCATGTTAAAACGTGATCATGAGTCACAAATGAACACAAGCATTATATTAACACCTGAGAGAGAATTTTTTCCGTAGAAGGTCGGGTAGAGCACCATTCACAAATGGAAATCATTTTTGTACTTTAAACTCAAAGCATACTTTGTTGGTTGGCTTAACAGTCAGGAGAATGATTAAACAAGCAAAAATATCGGATTATTTTCAATAAAAACTGTTTTCAGGTATATTTGCTATCTTATTTTATTTCTGATGTTTTTAATATTTAACCTATCTGCAAATTAATATATACATTTATAGTTAGTACAAATATAACATTGAGATTTTAAAAAAAAATCTTATTGTTTCCCCAAAGTATGTAGGATCTCCATATAACAATACATCCCTCTACAACGATATATTTATTTGGTCCCGAAAATATTGTTGTAACGAGGTTTTACTGTATTATTATTAATGTAGTTGATATACTTCTGTTACTCTTTATTGGCTACACTGAAAGTGAGATAAAAAATTTTAATTTGAGTTAGTAAAACGAAATGTTGCAAAGAAAGTCTTAGATGCAAAATGTCTATTCTTTACTTGCTGTATAAGTTTGTTATCATCAAAAAAGATATGACATGAAATTTAATTAATGAATTTTTTTTTTTTTTGCTTCTTAATTGTTAAGCTTACAAGGACATCTCTGAAAAAAATTAGAGGAAAAGAATAGAGAATAGACTATGTTTTGCTCCTACAAATAAACATGATTGTAAGGAAAAAGTCAATGGAATCTCAATTCTCAGGTTGTTAAAAAATAAAAGAAAAAATTAATATTTCATGGCAAATAATCTGAAACCCTTGTTTTTGGTGATCAAAACTCAGTTCTTTTATAGTGGGATTTTGATTCTAAATATAAATTTGATTGATCTAAATTAGGTTCATATGACCTGGAATTTTTTTAATTAACATTTTTGAAAATGCCTAATAAGGAGGAGGCCTTCCTTCTTAGTTGAAGTTTAAAGTGACACTTTTACAAAAGTTGAGGTTTCTCAGGATTTCTCTCTATCTACTTATAGAGACCAATAGATAATAGCCAATTAGATAACACAATAACTTTCATAACTACTCAATATCATTTTATTTTCATCAAGTCTTTATATTTTGTCTATTTTATTTTATGAAGGTTCTAAGTTTTGAGAGATTTTATATTAGAGGAAGGGTGATTGACAAAAAAAAAAGGAAAGAAAGAAAACGTGGCAGCGATCTTAGAAAATCTCTTTCTTTTTTTTAGCAGCTAAACTCAAAAAAATATGAGAAATAGGATACTTGGGGGCCAAAAATAAAAGCAAAATCTATATTTCCTCATACACTAAATTTTTTTCAAGTGTTTTATCTTCACATGTGTAAGAAAATTCTGAATTCTACCAAGGAAAGAAAAAGTATGTTTTATGTCTGACTTAAAGTTAATCCTTTTCATTAATTAATAACATAAATTAGTAATTTTTCTGGCTGTTTGGTTTTTATTTTGGTAAACCGTAGATATCAGAATTATCCTTTACTCTGTTTCTCATTCAAAATATGAATAAGTTTAACAGTACATAAAAAAAAGCTGATGATATTAACTATAATTATTATAACTGCTTCATCTATAAAGTTAACCTAAGTAATTATGCTCTCAATATTGTGTGTGTTTTTTACCTATCTATATATACTAATAATTTCCTGAAATTAATTTTTCTGATAAGCCAAAATATGTCAATTTTTAACAAGCAAGAGAAGTGATTTGTGTAAATGATAAAATATCTGGCTTGATTAATATATCGAAATTAAACTTCTGCAAGTATCCAAAAGTACATATATATATGCAAATTCAAAAAGCAATTATTAAAGTCACTGAATTTTGAAGTGTATTTTTGCGTTAAAAAAATTTTAAATTTTTTACTGATGATTTACCACTTTTCTTATTTTTTTGGAAAGAAAAATTGTTTGCATATATTCAATTGAGATGCAAATTTTGAAACTGATTAGTTATTGTTCATAAATATAGCCAAATTTTTTTCTAACTTTCATGTTATCATTTTTCTAGATAAATATTTTCATGTAAATTTGTTTGCTATTTATTTTAAACACTGCAGAAGGATAATTGAAATATTCTTTATTTTAGTCCCAAGCACAGCAGGTTTTGCAGCTTCAACATTCTATGGCGGGACAAGTAAATCAAGCTGGAGGTGGTATTCAGATTGTGCAGCAAGTTGTTAACAGTAATGGGGAAATACAACAAATACCTGTAAGTATTATGTAAACAATTCATAAAATGTCCGCATCTTTAATTTATAATTTTATTACAATAATAAAGACTCTATAGAACAGGGATGGCGAACCAATGGCACGCCACCGATCACAATTGTTATTGCACTATGAATTGTTATTACACTATGAACCATATGTAACAATTAAATTAAAATTCACAAAAATAAACAAAATAATAAACAATTATTAATAAAAAAATAACAATTAATAACCATAAAAAACAAGCTAGCAATAGATAACTAGCAAAAAAATCAACAGTCCTGCTTAAACAAATATCTTACAACCTTATATAAGTTATTTGTCATTTAATCTGCAATAACAGAAGTCCCACTGATGTTACTGTAAGTTTAATTACGCGTATAACTGAGACATTGCAAAATGCATTTTCCTTTCAATGCAAATGAAGAGTTTTGAGTTGATAGTATTTAGTATTATTATTTTCCCAATAATCATGAAGTCAAAATTATTTAACGGCACGTCTGTGATTTCATTAAACAATTTTTTAGAAAAAATGGCACGTTGGTGTATAAAGGTTCGCCACTCCTGCTATAGAACAACAATGACATAGTAGTAAAGGTACTGAGCTGTTGTTGTAGGACCAGGGGGTCAACTTACAGTTACAATCGCATGCATTACTATTCTGTCAAATTCAAAACTGGAGCCTGAAATTCTTCAAAACTGGAGCCCATTCGGTCGACAACTAGCTGCGGTTTTGAGCTATGAATATTTAAAAAGGGTTTTTTTTTTTTTTTTTTAAAACTTACATTTAAATTTTAAACCACAGAAATGGTAAAACATACAAAATCTACTTTGAATTCTAGAAATTAGTTCAGATGAAACAGTCCCAAAAATAGTTGATCAGATTCTAAAGGAGAATTTAGAATATAAATTTGTAATTCAATTTTTTTTAAATTTTATTTCTTAAATAAGCAGAATACAAATTAAGAAAATTCAAATTATTTGAAAACAATTGAGTTTGTCAAGTTAATCACCATTGTAATACCCTAATGGGGATAGGTTATTTTTGAGTTCTCAGTCTCTTAATTGAAAAGCATATTTGTGTGTTTTTAAATTAATATTATGGGTCAAGAAGGACACATTCTATGAAAGAATATTGAAAGTCAATATATTTTATTTCCACTTAATAAATTATTGTTATTATTAATCGTTTTTTAAATATTGTTTAAGTGCTTGATCAACCTAGTNTTTTTTTTCTTTTTTTTTTTTTTTTTTTTTTTTTTTTTTTTTTGGAAAGAAAAATTTTTTGCATATATTCAATTGAGGTGCAAATTTTGAAACTGATTAGTTATTGTTCATAAATATAGCCAAATTTTTTTCTAACTTTCATGTTATCATTTTTCTAGATAAATATTTTCATGTCAATTTGTTTGCAATTTATTTTAGTCCCAAGCACAGCAGGTTTTGCAGCTTCAACATTCTATGGCGGGACAAGTAAATCAAGCTGGAGGTGGTATTCAGATTGTGCAGCAAGTTGTTAACAGTAATGGGGAAATACAACAAATACCTGTAAGTATTATGTAAACAATTCATAAAATGTCGGTATCTTTAATTTATAATTTTATTACAATAATAAAGATTCTATAGAACAACAATGACATAGTAGTAAAGGTACTGAGCTGTTGTTGTAGGACCAGGGGGTCAACTTACAGTTACAATCGCATGCATTACTATTCTATCAAATTCAAAACTGGAGCCCATTCGGTCGACAACTAGCTGCGGTTTGGAGCTATGAATTTTTAAAAAGAAAAGACTTACATTTAAATTTTAAACCACAGAAATGATAAAACATATAAAATCTACTTTGAATTCTAGAAATTAGTTCAGATGAAACAGTCCCAAAAATAGTTGATCAGATTCTAAAGGAGAATTTAGAATATAAATTTGTAATTCAACTTTTTTTTTAATTTTATAGCAGAATACCAATTAAAAAGATTCAAATTATTTGAAAACAATTGAGTTTGTCAAGTTAATCACCATTGTAATACCCTAATGGGGATAGGTTATTTTTGAGTTCTCAGTCTCTTAATTGAAAAGCATATTTGTGTGTGTTTAAATTAATATTATGGGTCAAGAAGGACACATTCTAAGAAAGAATATTAAAAGTCAATATATTTTATTTCCACTTAATAAATTATTGTTATTATTAATCGTTTTTTAAATATTGTTTAAGTGCTTGATCAACCTAGTAATGTGCCTGTGAATCTGCACAATTTGAATGCATTTAATAAGTTATATCAGAATATTAGTTAATATTTTATGCATCACATAGGTTGTTTTTGATAAATTTGATCAAGTGTGTTCACCAAAATTATAATGTTGACTGAATTTCACCCAGATGTCAGGTAAAGGAATCAAGAAAGGTATAACAAAATATGGAGAGACAGAAATTAATGTAGACAAAATATTGTGGGGCAGATTGTTATGCAAACAAACTAGAATAGGATATAATTTTTTGCAGATAAAATATTTTGGGACAGAATCTTTATATAGGCAAATTACTAATTATTTTTTTTAAAAAAGTGTGTTTTCAGTTAGTATCCGTATGCTTTTGTTCCAAAAGCTGATACAGATAATTAAGGATTCACTGTGTTTTAAAATTAATTTTTAAAAAAATATATTATTCCCAATCATCACACCTGAAAGTGTGACAGAGAAAGGAAAAACTGGTTGCAAAAGCATTTTGTTTGTAGTTGATTTTTTTTTTTAGGAATAAGAAATTTTTTTTACTACTCTTAATTATAATCTGTTCATCACTATATACTTTATCTATGGTTAAAAAGAAAAAGTCATCTATTTTTTAACTGTTACAAAAATATTTTCATCTTCTAGAAAACAAACCATAGCCAAGGCATACCTGCCAAGTCACCTGTTTTTTAGCAAAGACTCCTGTATTTTATAACTATCTCCTATTTACCTGTATATTTTCAAATTTCTCCGTATTTGTTGAAGAAATTTGTAAAAAAAAAATTGGAGATAAAATATACGCTGATGGCAAAAATACCTCTCTTATTCCTCAACAGATAGTGCTATTGACAGTACTGCAGCCTGTTGAGTGTTTATAGTTTAAGTACTACTTATAAATAATGGTTTTTAAAAAAAATCTTCTTTAGATTAAGATTTATATACAAATTTTTTACTTAGCTGAATGTAAGTACCTAGAAAATGTCTCTCCAATGTTGGCAACAGCGTGGGTAGCATTTTAAAAAAGTGCTTAAAGGTGCTTATTTTCAATTATCGTTTTTTAAAAGCCCTTAAAGGTGCTTTTTTCATCGGGTGTTTTTAAAAAGTGCTTAATTTTCCCTTTTTCAAAATGTTATTTTTCTTTTACCATGTTAATTTTCGCTTCAAATCATGCAAAAAGACACAGTTGGCATTGTTCTATTCAACATTTTCGCAATTAATTCAACCTCAATCTATTTCGGGGTATTGTCAGTCTATAGCATATGAAAATGCCATTTGCTTTACATAATTCAAAATTTCATGATTTTTGACAATTGTCAAAAACAATGCCAAAATGTTTATTTATTTATTTTATGGCATGGCAGTTAAAACAAGATAAAAACCGTCACTTGTCACAAACTTTCCAACCCTGCCTAATTATGATATTTTTTTAAAGTTCTTAAAAATGTTTTTTGAGTGCTTAAAAAGTTTTTATTTTTTGTTGCATAATTTGGCTACGCATCCTGTAGCAAGTATGCCAAAAGATTTTCTTAGTCTTCACGATTTTGTTATTTATTAACTTTCAGCTCTGATCATAATGTATGAGATTAAATAAAAAAAATTATAATTCTCATTTTAAATCATTTTAGATCCAACTCAGTCCGAATAATCAACTTCAATTCATAAGAATGCCTTGTCAAGGACAAAGTACAAACCAACCTATTATAATTCATGCTGCTCCAGTACAACAGAATGCACAAGTCCAACAGACAGCTACTCAGGTGAGTGCCGAGAATATGTGGAATGGGGTCGAATCACACGAACCCCAACAATTTAGTCAGGTAAGTTACATCATACTTCAAACCAATTTTTACTATACATGTTCTTTTATTATTTTTTTTCTTGCGATAAAATTATATTTTGTAAGCATAATGGTTGTTTCAACTCAAGTAATCAATGTAAATGTCAAATTATGTTAGTGCTGGTCAACCTTATTAGGAAGAGTGCCAATTTCAAGAAGAAGAAAACTGTCACATAACTAAGTATATGTGACAGTTTTTTTTTTTTTAATATACTAAAAATGGTGAGAAAATATTTGCAGGCTAATTATCAGATTTTTATGCAAATAGCTCAGATAAAGCAAAATAATAAATCCTAAGTAAACTTAAAATTTTTAAGGTTCATTTAGTTACTTGTTAATGTTGTTCAATTGGTAATCAAGTTGTTTTTTTACCGAATGATCTGTATTGAGAATAATTTTTGAAGATATTTACAAAATTAGGTATGTTAGGTATATGTCAGTTAATCTTGAACAATACTTTAATTTCATTATGTTCATAATAGAAAGCATTTGTTTCAAATTGTGTGTTGATCCAAACCTACAATATCTTACTGACAAATCATTTAAGTTGGAAAAATTGCTTGTTCGTACAATTATCCAGAATTAGATATTAGGTTTTTACAGATTTTTTCCTAAGAGCAATGTCCAGAGGTAATTGTGACATGAAAACCTTGAAAATTTTATTTTAAAAAAATCTATATCAATTTATGTATCATACATGTTTCATATTTAACAGAATTTTTTTTAACTGATATTTACAAATAAATTACCTACTAATGAAAAATATCACACCTTTATAGTTACTAATTCAAGAACAAATTTACTTCTTACTACAGGAATAGCAACATTGGATTTTAAAATCTTGTGAATATGAATTAATTGTGACATTGAATTTTAAAATTGTAGAATATGTATCATAATATTGGATTTTAAGAGTGTAAAAATACAAATTGCAATATTGAATATTTATATATCGTAAATAATCACGATGCATAATTTTTAGATTGTGTTAATAGGAATCGCAATGTTGGGTTTTTTAAGTCGCATGACTAGGGAATCATTATGCAAGATTTTAAAAAAGTGAAAATACAAATCGCAAAGCATAGTAAGGTAGATACGAAAATCAATGTTTAATATTAAAATCGCATGATAAGAAGTGCGATATTAGCAATTTCCGGCGCTGTTCCAAATATTTAAATTGACATGAAGAATCACATGAATATACTGTATGTCTCGTTAATGGGATTTAACAAGTTTTAACATTTTATTGAATTATAAGATTTTGATTTGCGAAATTCTTCAATGTTCGCAGAAAACTCACATGCCCTGCTTCTAGTTTTCAGAGCCAAACGAACAATACGGAATTCAATCATTCCTGGATATTATTTTTTCAATTTTTGTGGATTTTGATGAAGTTTCCGCATGTTGCTAGTTTTTATCCATTAATTAGATCATTTTTTCCAAAAACATTCTTTTATACAATGGCTGATTTAAATTTTATTTAATTCATGGAATTAATTTGTTTTTATCAAGCTAGAAACTGAATAATAAATATCACATTAATAGTGTGCCTAAATATATATTAATTAGTAATGGTAATTTTAATAATAAGATGTAAAAGGAGGCTTTTATCTCTGAAATTATTTAAAAAAATAATAATAATCTTTTTTGGTATGGAACCACTTTATAAGAAATTACAAAATTGCATCCTTCACAGTGAAATTAAATATACAACTAAAATTGTAATATTACATTTGAAGATTTAAAAACGTTTTTGTAGCTTGTATTTTAAAATAGAGTTGTACTGTATTTGATTGTTCAACTTAATGTGATATTTGACCCAAGTTATGTTTCAACGAACTTTTTAATGAATCATGTGAATGACTTAATGTTGAATCCTGCAACTGAATTAATGCAAATGTTAATGAAATAAATGTTAACTTCAAATTATATATATCCATTATTATAACGCACAATTAGATTAAAAGGTATTTAATTTATGTAGGTATTTAATTTATGTAATAATAAATTCTGTAAGTTAATAAACATAAATTCTTTTACAAATTATATTTTAAGTAATTGATGTTCTATTCAAAATCAATTCAATTCACTGTTTTTGAAATATTTTATTTTAACACTGAAAACTTTATTATTTTTATCTATTTTATTATTATGATTATTACCTATTTATTAAAAATATGCTATTAATCTCCTATTTTATTCTCAAAAAGAACTTTAGGATTTGATAATGCACATTTTATGATTTCGAGCATTAACAAATTTTTGTTTAAGAAAACACACATTAATCTTATACATTAGTTGACTATTCTAATCATTTATTTGAAGTAAGACTTTCTCAAAATAAAACTGTATGATACACACAAAATATCCTCAATCCTCAAGTCCAAAAAAAAAAGTAACACTACAAAATTTTGGTTATTTTAATAATCTTTAGGGCTAGAGCAAGACTATATTATTATTCTGCTGGTCTGGCTATGGTTTGTGGAAAGTTAATCTATTAAAAATTTTAACCATGTCAGATAAAGTGGAAACAGGAATTTAATTTATAACTATTAATTAAAAATTGCCTATAACAATGCATTTGGTCAATAAAAAAGCAATTAGTATATAATTGGTTGGAAACAATAATTTCTAACTTACGGCATTTTAATAAGATTGTATAAAAGGATCTTATTTTAACTGAATTCTCACCTGAACTGTCAAAATACATTATCTGAGTTGAATAATATTATAATAACTTATTAACAGACTATTACTTTTTATCTTTTGCGCTAAGACTATTACAATAATTTTAACCCTGTATGCACTATGGTTAGACCGGCAAACATTAAATTGTTTTATTTCATTTATATTTGTATACAATATATGAGAATTTTATATATTTGTAAATGATTGGAATTTTTGTTCGAAAATTTTTCAGACTGTTTACTGTAACATTAATGCCTCATAGAGCCCTGCATTTAATGTATACTGTATGTTAATCAATTTGCTAGCAAGTCCTATTATACTAATTAGTATAATTTTTAATATCTATAAAAAACTCACTTAATGGTGGATGCGATTGCACAAGCAGATTATTTTCTATATCGTTTTTTAAAAAAGTATTCTGTTAAAATTTAACCAAAAACACAGGAAATGCCAGTTAATGTATATTAAATAACTGTTGTCTATAACTTTCATAAATGTCACCTTAAATTAAAAAAAAAAATTTTTAAAAAAAAAGCAATTTTATAATTTTTAAACAATCTTAAATTTAACTAATAGAATTTATCTTTACATTAATTTTTTTTAATCATAAAATGTAAAAAAAGCAGTAAATTGCAAGTCTGTGTTTAGTAATATTGTTATTATTTAAACTTCTATTAACCAAAATTGATTTCCAATTTACTAAAATGATTAATTATTTTTCCTCACTAATGATGATATTTACTACTTGGCACATTAGTACACTTACTCTATATCTATGTACACCTACTATATGCATATATATAAATTTCTTATGAAAAAAAATGCAATGAACATTCTATAAGAAAAACTTTTTAATAACTGAAAATTAAAACAGTATTACTATTTATAAAAAAAGATTTAATTTTATTTGTTTAACCTTTTTTTTTATTGATATTACCTTTGTTTTTTTTTTTTTATATTATGAAGCTCACCCATTAATCAGTACTATTAGTTTTATTACTAATAAAAATGCAATCAAAAGTTGTGTTAAATTACGCAAAATAATTTTAGTATTAATCAGACATGGTGTTTGGATTTTGATTGATGTTTAAAAAATAAAAACTGTAACAGTATTTTAATTTTTATATTATTATTTTTTTAAATTCTTATCTTGCTTATACCATACGCTTATTATATTCAATAATAATTAATCCAGCTTGAAATATGAATAAAAATTATAATTATATATAACAAATAAAGTTATATAAATTATTTTGCATGTGTTGTATTGTTTTCTCTTGTAACAAAACAAAAAGCATGAGCAGCAGTTATTTAGCACCAACTTTTTTTTGTTTGCCAAGCTTTTTTTTTTTTTTTTTTTNATGAATAAAAAATTATAATTATATATAACAGATAAAGTTATATAAATTATTTTGCATGTGTTGTATTGTTTTCTCTTGTAACAAAACAAAAAGCATGAGCAGCAATTATTTAGCACCAACTTTTTTTTTTGTTTGCCAAGCCTTTTTTTCTTTGCATGTTAATTTTTTTTATTTTGTTTCCCCCTTCCTCAGGGTATGTTTCAACAAGCTAATCAACATCTTGCACAGCAACAACAAGCCCAGGTTGGTTTTGTTATTAAATAGCATACCTTCTATATGAGTTCTGGTAAAAGTATGTGCTTTACTTTGGCAAAAGAAATATTGCTTTTTCTTTTTTTTTAAATTTGATTTTATATGCTTGTGCATGTTATTTAATTATATTTTCTTTTTTGCCCTTATCAATTCTTCTGTATTCCTTAAACTTACTGATAACCGACCTTTTTACACCATCAGATTTTCTTTTATCATTTAGTTACAATTTATAATAACAATTACATTAAATTATTGTTTTAATGTGATTGAATTTAAAAAAACAGTAAATTAGACTAGCATGTGTCTGCTACATTCTTTAAAGATAATTTGTTTTAAGGACAACAGTTCGAAAAAATTTAAAAAAAGCTTTTCTAGAGCTGTAAACTTAAAAAAAATAAAAAAAATTCTAAGAATTTTTTATGAATCCTTATTAAACTACCAAATTCTGTACTACATTAAAAATAGTTATACTGTGTTACTTGCGCTGTAAATTTCTGCTTTTATTTTATTATATTCATTCTCTTACAATTAATCATATTTTTTGTATTTTTTTTCTAAAAGCTTTCTTTTCTTTACTTGTTGAAAAATAAGTTAAAATGCACTACATTTTTTTTTTCTTTAAATTTTATATTCTAATACTCTGTCAACAAAATAACCTTACAATCTGTATTGCAATGCAACATTCTTTGTCTTATCTCTTCTTATCAGTGCTGATGGCATCTTGCCCTGATAAGTTTATGATATACAGGTGTAGATAAGGTCACTCATAGTATCTAAGGCTTATTGATTTTTCTTTAGAATTACTTCAAGAAAATCTTTATAACTGGGAGAGGGCAAACCTACTGGCTTTTAATAATTTCTACCACAAAATATGTTTTGTAAAAATAGAGGATTTTCTGTAAAGGAACAATGGAAGTTGCAAATACTGCAACATCGCTCTATTCACAAAAACCCATTGACACTAAATTCTAAGGTAGTTTCTGTTTTATTGGGAAAATTATTTCAATTTCTAAGTTAAAAGAGGGGAATAATTGAGGATCCTTGAGTTTCCTCCAGCACAATTCTTTACTCCTTCAGTTAAATTAAAATCATTAGTTAATTATTTTTTTAATTTTATTTGCAATATTAGTAAAATCAGTACTTTGAAAAAAAATTATATATATTGTCATTTAATGTTGATTTTTAGATTTTTGTTTCAGTTTTCCTTTTTGTAATTTTTTCAATATTAAACTTAAAATTATTTATAACTTGAACAAAATTGGAAATTTATAACATTGTTTATCCTCTTCTCTATAAATTACAAAAAATATTTGAAGTACTGCTTTTTTATTTTATAAATGATATATTAGTTAATTTTTGCTTCCCTACTTTTCTTAGTAGTAATAATTTTAAAATTTCTTAAATATTATCAAATTAAAAAATTTATCTCAGTATTTTTTTTTTTTTTAGAATGTCGAATTAAGATTTTGAAATTTTTTACATGGAACAATTTTTTACTTTATTAATCAGCATTAAATTTATATTAATTTTCTTATTAGTGATTTATTGTATCTTTTTTGCTAATTTATTAAGTAATACACAAATAAATGTAATTTTTATCACATTAAATTGTAAATTATATTTTAACAAGTTTTTTTTTTTTTTTATCTACGGTGTAAACATCCAAGTTATCAGAAAGCTTTTGCTATCCAGCCTGCAAAATTTAAATGGCAGATTTATAAAAATCAGTTTTATTTTTGAACAAAATATCAGTATCAGGCATTTTAGAAATGTTTTGGTGTTCAGAAAGTATGGAATTATGATGGGTTATTGAAATACTCCTACTTTAATTCATTAATTTTTGCATGATAATTCAAATTCATTTTGCATGGGGAAAAAACTTATAGGGTGAGAAAAAAAGTCGGGAAAATTACTTTAATGTGAATGGACTGAAGAAAAGGACTAATATTTATCTTAACACAGTCAGATTATGGTGTAAAATCCAGTTTTAAATGACATACATGTAGCAAATATATGGTTAAATTTAAGTTGTTTAAATTTAACTTGAAATTTATATTTATATATTGTGTTTTCACTTGTTAAAATATGTTATAAGGATGTTATACCTTATTTAATATTTTGATCATTTTTAAATAATTTCAGAATATAAAAGGGTAAGATTTAATATATAATATAAAAGGGTAACTGTATACAAACTCCTCTTTTTCTTATGTTCAATACTAGGTTTAAACCATAAATAAATATAAAATGTAATTATAAGTATCCAATATTTTGGGACCAGTGCAGTAGAGTGAAAAAGTGTGTGCATGAAAATGCTTAAGCGTGGGAATCTGCCAATGAATTCAGGAATTTTTTTAAGCTAAAAATCTTATTTTTGTCTAGAAAAAATAAAATTAATGAACATCAATCAAAAAGTTTATTTTCAAGCAGCAAGTGCGCATTACCATGGATGCCATTATAAGCAATTGTTTTTAGAAATGAAGTTTACTAGTGAAAATATTTTGGATCTAAATATATTAAAAATAATAGATTTTCCATCAATAAAAATTATTTGCACATTAGCAGAAAAGAATACATAGCATATAGTTAAAATGTCTATATTCAGACCTAAAAAAATGAGACATAAACTGATTTAAAAGAACAGAACAGAGCAAAGTGCTAGAAGTAAATAAGAAAAACCTGACTAATTAAGACTGAAACTGTACAAGGAATTTTTTCATTAATTCTAATTTAAACATCAAGTTTTTATGAAAAGCTTTAAAGACCTTTTGTTGGCAAATATTACTACATATATCTTTAATAAAGCTGAATTTTTACAATAATTATCTGACTGTGTTGAGGATGCAGGCAGAACTTTGTTGCATGAGGAAGTGCTGCTGATTCCCTCCGCAAATTTTGCAAAAGGTGTTCAACTGTTAAAAAGAACGAACGAAGTATGAGCTGAGTGATATATAAATTTTTTTTACAAATATTTAATGCATATTTATGAAGAAAAAGTGGTTTTATTAGCAACTAACCTGAAATGTTTTATTTCTAAATCATTCTAATGTTTAAACGTTCCATTTTCTTGTCTTCTCTAGACTGTTTACCAAATACAGCAAGTTGCTCAGGCCTCTGGACAAGTGGCCACAACAGCTACCCCAGTCTTTTTGACCCAAGCACCAGGTGCAGGCGGTGCTGCTACGGTTCAAATTCAGACTGTGACAGCAGACCAACATTCATCCACAGATGAAGAACAACAGCAATAACTGACTTTTTAATCTTAATCTACTTTGTACATAATAAAACTTCAGATGTGATTTTTTCTTTTTTAGTCATTAATAAAATTGATTTAATATATCTATTTGGAATGCTTATAATTAGTGTTTCATATGCCAGCTTGTAAAGATAATGATCTTAATCACTGGAATTTCACTTGGGATGAGTTTCATTTTGTTTTGGATTTTTAACTCAAAAAGGGAGGATAGTCCCAAAATTGAGAGCAGCATACCTGTTGTTTTAACAGTTAGCGAATATTTTTTAATGGCACTCTACTTTAGATCTGAATGGAAATGTGAAAAGATAAATTTCACATCTGGTTGTGCATTAATAAGACATTGTACATACACCTGTCAGAGAAGTTATCTTATAAATCAGCAAAAATGATATAACTTAATAAGATTTTTAAAATAGTCAAACCTCTAGACGATGAGAAACACGATTGGATTTTTTCCTCATTAATTTTAATAAATCAATTCATGTTTCATATCATTGTTAGTAAACTTCACTAAAAAAAAACTTGTCAAGTTCATGAGAATAACTAAAAAGTTTTTAACTATTTCTTTTAGCCCTTATAGAAAGACAATGAATTTTAAAAAAAAAAAACTTTTTTATGTAATTGAACATGCTAATAGTTTATTATAGACTTAGAGGTTGGGTTGCTCCCAAAAGCATGGTACATCGACCCGACCCGAGGGCTATCGTACCCAAACCCTAAATCATGTAGCATGAAAGCCCCCCCTCCCCCCAAATGGTGAAATAAAATTCAGCAACACCTTACAGGAACATCCTGAAGATCCCAGGTTTTAACGCAATGTTGCCCCACAATTACAAAGTATATGTCGTGATGTCTCTTCTTCAAGATGACAAAGAGAATTGGATTCAATTCCCATAATGTATAGGTGTCTCCTGAGGATGCAGTGACCAGTAAGACCAACGATCTTCCTCAAACTGTTTCTATTAAGCTTTAAAAGCTCTTTTTGACGTACACTGGGGCAGTCACGATTCAGCTCCTTAGCTTCTCTGACCGTCAGCGATACGCCATTGCTCATGGGCTATTTTGCTATAGAAATATTAATTTTTGTTATCTCAGGGTTGCCGCAAAATAGCTGCTTCTAGTGACCTAAAGCATTAAAATAGTTGCCTACATAAGAACAAAAATTTTATTAAATGAATTGTCATAATCCATTTAGTCAAGTTGGTTGCAAATGACTTAAAAAATTTTCCCTTTTATCAATAATTGATCTAGCAAATATATATATTGTGAAAAGTGATTAATCAAATTGAAAATTCATGCATCATTATATTGTATTAAAAATTGTTTTTTTTCAAAGTTATGCAGAGTTTAGTAGCAATACCTATTGAAAAGACGACCTAGGAACAAAATAGACTAGCAATAGAATCTATGCAAATTTAGAACATTAAAGAGTGATAACTCTAATTTGCAATTGAAATTTTTTTAAGAAAAAAAGAATTTACTGTGCTTGGTTGCAGGTTGTCATCCCACTAGTCTTTTCCTGAAAAAAGTTGCTATTTAATACTTTTTGTGGCAACCCTGTTATCTTAACTAAATTTTTACTGTTTCCTTTAAGCTCTTCATTTCGAAGTTTGACTGAATATGTAAGATACCATAAAGAAAAAAGGAATCAAATATCAATTTTTTTTCTCTTTATTGAAAAAACATTATGCTCTCTTAGATTTGAAGTAATCATTCAGCACATCATGGGCTTGAGTTTCTTTTCCATAGTCCTGCAACAGAAAATCGAACTAAGACAAATTGAAAAACTGACATAAATAACTTTGAGCCAGAGAATACATACAATTTTACAGTTAATGAATTAAAATTTAAGATCCTCTGTAGCACACCACATGTGGTTAACAAAAGTATCTCGCATAGAACTTGAATTCTCGAACAAGTTCCTCAATTTTTGAAAAAAAATATTAGAATTTTCGAAACAATAATTCTTACTACCTTTTTCTTGCACTAGTTATTATTTAAGTATAGATAGGAGCAAAGAAAAACACTTTTCTGGCTTCGGAGGGATGGTAGTAACAATTAAAAATGTACATAAATACAGGGTTGCGGCAGAAAAAAAATTAACAAAATAGTTGCTTTTAGTAGCCTAAAGCAGTGTTCCCCAACCCCCGGTACCGGTCCGTGGATCAATTGGTGCCGGGCCGCCCATTTCATTGAAACTGAATTTAAATTCCTAGGTTTATTGTTTTAAAAAGTCAAAAAAAGAAAACCACCGCAACTATTTTCTCCTTCAATTAGTTTTAATAAAAAAAATCAATCATCATAACTTTAAATATCATAAATAAATCATGAAAGCGCGGTGCGAAATTTACATTGGAACTAATGAAGAAAAGTAACAGCAACCAAAACAAAGCAACGGAATAAACTGGACATAAGCTACACACTTCGGGTGTCATTGTCTCCAAACCCCCAGATGGAACCGTCTCATTGCAAAGAAACAAGTTCAGGGTTCTCATTGATTAACGTTCTAGTAAGCTAAAATGTTAAATCCCTTTACATTTATTTTTTGGGGTAACTGTATTTTATTTTGAAGACGTGTTTAAATGCAATTAAATTAAAATAAATAAATCGAAATAATCTGAAATATAAACAATCAACATCCCACCCCAAGCGGACCGCGGTTAAATTATCAAACGTTGACCGGTCCGCGGTGATAAAAAGGTTGGGGAACGCTGGCCTAAAGCACAAAAACAGTTGCCAAAAACTATGAAAATAGTTGCCTAAATAAGAACAAAAATTTTTTGATAATATTACTGAAATTTTATTAAATGATTAATTGTTATATACCATGATCGATTTTGTCAAATTGGTAGCAAATCTGATAATTTAAGCAAACGTTAGTGTTCTAGAAATTAGTATATCAAAAAATTTGAATTTATATTAGAAATTCTTTGGGTTTTTTAAATTCGTACAAAATTTTATAGCAATAACTGTTGAAACGATGATATAGAAACAAAATTGACTTACAATGGAAGGTGCAAATTTATAGCACTAAAAAGTGATGACTCAAATTTGCAATTCAAATTGTTTTATTTTTAAAGAAAAAATTCATTGTGTTCAGAAGCTTCTGCAGGCCTCAGGTTGTCAACCAAATTTATGCTTAAAAAAAAAAAAAACATTGTTAGGAGTACAGAAAAGTCTCCTTTTCCTGAAAATAGTTGCTTTTTTAGGCAACAAAAAAAAAAGCCGCCTCAGGTGGAAAATAGTTGCAAATAGTAGCCTACGGGAACCTTGAAAATAAGATAAAATGCTTTTAAATCTCTGGATATTTCACAAGTTGAGCTACTATTTTGTTCTGGCCAAAACAAGAGGCAGCTCTAACAAAGTATGAAATTGGACACTTTTCCATTAACGTTTGCAAATAATCTGTTGACTGCCACTTTTAAATTGTTTTACGAATGATTACCACAAACATATCAAATTCTAGAATTTTTAATTATGGTGTAAAACAGGCAAGGAAATTATAAAAAGTTTAATTCTGCAGATTTATATAAAAGCGGCACATCAGGAATATCCAATGTTTGTGACTGAAGTGATTATTTAAGCACTTATATCCCTGAATGAATACTTTGTCATGCGTAAAACTGAAATGACTTTAAAAAAATCTTTAGTTCTATTTCTGTGACTTAATTGTAGCAATAAGTAGAACTGTAACCAATGTAAGTGTAATAAAAAGGGAAGACAAGATCCTTACCACGACAACAACACAGCTGCATCCAACGACTTTTCTGGCTTTACCTTCCTTGTCAAATGTACACAAACCGGCCCATTCTCCTAATTTCTTATTGCTATCAACCTAAAGATAATGTTCAAAATTAATATAAAATAACACACTAATTGCTACAAGAAAATGTTCAGATTACAAAATCTGGAGGGAAAACACTTTAAGAAAATACACACATTTCACATAATACGTATTACTCATTCAAGAAAAAACGTAAGCTGTTCTGTGTTCCAATCTGTATTAAATTTAGTGGTATTATACATAAAGTTTACAAGGCTGCCAACGTGGATATAAAAAAAAATCCAGTATATTTTAGAAAATACTGAAATAATAAGTTCCAATAATAAAATAATTTAGAATAAAAATATTTTAGATTAATATACCAAATATTCTACACACAGGGAATTTCGGGGATTTTTAAAGTCACCCTTTGCTTTTGATTAGAACAATAAGTGAACTAGATTGGCCTCGCCATGCTAAGCACTGTAACGTAAGGTTAAATGCACTTAAACTCAAAATGTTTACTCTTAATTTTGAATAGTAATAAACAATGTGTTAAAAATAGATTAATTGATTCTAATTAAAGATTTAAGTGTAGAATAGAATTGAAGTGTAAGTAAAACATATAACTGAACATATTAAAAGTACACAAGAAACAATTATAAAATAGAAAACTGAGCAAGGCTTAAGAAATTGTGATTTCCATTATGGTCACAATGAAAGAATCGACTATTCTCTTTAAAAATGTACTAATCTGCTAGGCAGGGTTGCAAAAAACCCTCCAGCTTAATAAAACCCGCCCGGGTTTTACTGGGTAAAACTCACTCTGAAGTGGGTTTTTGAAAAATTGATTTCTTTTTTCATCCTCTGTTATATTAAAGAGCTATTCTATTGAAATATATATGTAGTCTAGCCTTAAAAAAATTAACCTACAGTGAAGAAGCTAATTGTGTTGGAGACTGGAGAGTCAACTTGCTGGCTAGATTTGACTGTATGGCCATTGATTATTCAGTGCACTTGATTCGCTTTCTATGCAAAAAAAAAAAAATTTCTCAAACATTTTTTAAGATTAAAAATAAATAAAAAGTAAACCTGTGTCAAAATTAGTTTCAAATGTGTGATGTATGTGAGTACATATAACATTTTGTATTGTGATCAGGGTTCGTGATTTTTTTTAAAAAAATATTTTTAAAAAAAATCGGATTTTTTTGATTTAAATCGGATTTTTTTATTTAAATCAGATTTTTTTGATTTTTATTCAAATACACTATAAGAGCTTTAATTTATGATTAAAAAAACTTTATAAATGTTTAATCAAAATTAAATTAATATTAAAACTATATTATAACAATATTTTAGAAGCTCTAACTTACTAAAATAATTTTTCATTATAATGCATAGCGACCATTTTGATACAAAGGCATGATTGAAATTAAAAGACAAGATAAAATAGATAATTTAAAGAATACTACTTTAACTAATAACACAAAGTTTCAATTAGCACAGCATAATTTTAATTTAAAATTGTGATCTCTTTTTTTTCTCATGATTTATAAAATGGCAAAATAAATGCAACAGATTGTGTTTATAAATGTTGTTATTCATCAAAAAATAAATATTCAATCTATATATTTTTATGTTAAAATATTCATTTTTAATCCTTTATCAAAATACATAAGTTAAGCTAAAAAACATTTTTAAAAAAATCTATGTACTCATTGGAATTTTTTTTCACAAAAGAAAATCTGATAATTTCAAAGATACCGTAAACATATTATGAGAAGAAAAATAAAAACCAGTTAATAACCCTACTGCTTCAAATAGACTTTGATAGGGAAGAATGACACTATATCAGGAAAAAAATATCTGAACTCAGCTTTTTTTTTTTTTTTTATTTTTGGCATATTAAGGTAATTTCTTTTTAATATAACCTCAAGCTTTAGAAATATAGAAATTTCCATCAATAAACTATAATGTAGATTTGAATTTCATGCTTTTTTAATCAAAAGGTAGAATTTTAATTAACATTTGCTTTTTGAAAAAAAAGCATGTTTATTTACTTTCTACAGCTATGCAAGTCTATATTAAGACAGCATTAAATATTTACTTTAATCTGTACTTTCAATGTTAAGAATCAAAAGATTTTTAAACATGTAATTTTAAATGTGTTTAACACACTCCAAGAAAGAAAGTAATTTCGTTAACTAAAATTAATTAATGCAGCAATTTATTTAAAATAAATTTTAAAACTAAGAAAAGAAAATAATAAAAAAATCAATAATTTAAAGCACTGTTTTTTAACTTTTAAAATCAATATAATATATATATATATAAAAATCAGTTGATTTAAATCAATGATTTTTTTAAAAAAATCATTTGATTTTAATCATGATTTAAATCAAGGAACCCTGATTGTGATATCAGAAGAAACTTTTTTCAGACTTTCACATCAATTTATTTGTATTAATTATCTATATGAAGTCAGTTTATAAAAGTAACCTTAATAATTAACATTAAAATAAGCTTTTTTAAAATAAGGTACTTAACCCCCCCCCATAAAAACATGAAAAGTCCAATAAAACCCACCCGGGTTGGGTTTTTCTACAAAAGCCCGGGTTTTTTGAAACCCTGCTGCTAGGCAAACAAAATTTCCAAGAGGAGATGATATTGTTCTTTAGATTAGTCAATAAATATACAAAATAGGCATGGAATTTCCATTCTGATACCAGCCCAAGAAAATTATCAAATTGTGACATAAACTAGGTCACGATATAATAAAGGGGACCAAATTAAGAGCCTCAACAACTGCAGAGGAATACTGGTACCAATATGGAAATATGATTAGAGATATAAAGAAACAAAATAAAAAATTTACTATCTGGTCATTGAAAGTAAGATTGTAATATAATGGAAAANAAAAAAAAAAAAAAAAAAAAAAAAAAAAAAAAAAAAAAAAAAAAAAAAAAAAAAAAAAAAGATCATGCGATAAAAATTTAAAATTAGAAAACAAATAAAGCTTTTAAAGAGAAAATTGTAAATTTTTGAAACAAAAGAATATAGACAAAGTTATACTTACTTTCAGAAGATTTATTTGATGTTCAGCACAAAGGGCTTCCACTAGTTTGACATATTGTGGTTCATCACAGTTAGTAGCTAAAACACAGAGAAGTGCCTGTCTTTTATCTAGTGACTTTGCAGCTTCATGGAGTCCCCTAGATAGTTTTCCATGAGTGAGGGAGGTCTTCAGAACTTCTTGGAGAGCTGTGTTCACATCCATCTCTCCACCCGGAGCACTCGTTTCCCTGACAAAAAATGCTCACACATTATTTACTGATAGTTATAGTTATACATCATTTTTATGGTTTTTTTCAACACATCCAAATATAATTCAAAGCTGCAAATGTGGATTATTCACACTAATTTGTTTCCATCATAAAGTAAACAATAGAGCATAATCAATATACTTGCAAAAACACATATGTGGTGAAACAGCATGATAAAGATGAATGTAAATTTGTACACCCCAAACAAATTTTGTACTCCAAAACAGAAATACTATATAAAATTAGACTAGCTGTCAAAATTATATTTGTGATTTTCCCAATTTTTTCAGAAAGGTGGATCATTCTATCTACCTTTTCATGGAGATAAATACATTTGCCTTTCTTTCCTTAAAATTTTAATATTTTTTTTTATCTATTTATTGAAGAGATTGTAGTAGCAGAAACCATTAACTTTAGATTGCCATGACTAATATTAAGGCGGTTAATATTGAATATTATACTCATATTTATCTGAGCATTTTAACTCGTTTTTGAAGGGCTCTAATATAGCTAGAGGGAAATAAAATAAAGATTTAGCTAGAATGGAGCTTTTCAAAACAGAATTCATCTTTGTTTCCTAAAAAAAATCACCTTGCCTTTTATTTCCTCAGGAAATTTCTGTATATTAAACTTCCAAGGGTAAAACCATTTGTATCGTTTCGACAGATTAAAAACTATAAATTATACCAAAATGACACATAGGTAATGGTCACTTCAAAATAACCTGACTCACTGTTACAAAATAGCCACAAATAAAAATTATGTCTTAATGATAGACTTTTCTAGACTTGGCAATTTTAGAGCCACAACAGTGATAAAAAAAAGTAACTCATAGACACCCAAGGGATATTTCAGTATCATTATCTGCCACACTAGATTGATTTTCAGGGGAATATTTTTTTTGTTAAAGTAAATGTTTGTTACGGGGTAGCTACAAGTTATACCCTTCAAGTTGGTGTCTTCCTGTGATAATTTTTAGTTTATTGCTGGCCGCTGACAAGACTTGGCGATTATTCTGCCCCAGATCACGAAACAGAAGAACTCTTATGAAAACCTCTACATGTTTTATTTATTTTAATTTGCAATCTTAAGATCCGCTGTGTCTTTGCGATTGTAACTGATGCAACAGAACATGATAATAAAAAAAATATCTCCACTTTTTGTTAGAAAATAAATATCCTGTTGAATTTAAATATTGTTAAAAAGCTAACTTTTCTTTTAAAGAATATGCCTTAGTTACTAAAAATTGTTAATTTTATTTGATTACTTTCCAAGATATTGAATATTTTATTTTAGCTTGCTTCTCTGATAGAATTATTTAAATATAGATAAATACATTGTTAAATAACGACAATGAGGCTATGTGAAAACTGAACTGCAATTCAAAAATCCACTGACAAACGATTGTTTACTTTTCACAAGTTGACCAGTCACCAAAAACTGTGTTGTTGACCTCATCTTATATACTAATCACAATTAACAAAGAAAGTGTTTAACTCAGGGTTAGAAAAAAAATATTTTGGTTCAAATAAAAAAAATCTATTTAGTTGCAAAAAACCTGTATTTTGGTTTAAACCAGGCTTTCTTAGGTTTGTTTATTATAGCTACTAAATAATAACTTATGCTCTAAATTTAAATTAATTGAGATATTGTAAATTATCATGGAACTTTTTAATAAATAATTTAAAAAAATCATTTCGGGGATGTTTCAGTATCCTGATCTGTTGCACCAAATACAATCGCCAAGGTGCCTGCCATGTAGATTTTAAACTTGCAAATTTTTTTTTTTTTAAAAAACACGTAGATGAGGGTGGCAACGAGTTATACATTTTGAGTTGGTACCTTTGGGTGATTTTTTTTTAGTTTCTCGCGGGCCACTGAAAGGAAGTTTCCAAAACTTGGCTATTATTCTGCCACAGATCACGAATCGAAAATGTTCCCCTGCCACAGATCAGGATAGGGAAATCTCCCCATCATTTCTTCCATAAACATTCGAACATGATGAAAACAAAACAAAATGAATTACTGAAGATTTTAACAGGGTTTACATTTTTTCAGAAAAAGAAACTCCCAGACTTTTCCAGAAAAATTTCAAAGAAAATTGAGATCATATTTTCATTAGAAAACTTAGATTCTTTTAATTAAAAAAATATCAATAAATGAGGATGGACACATTTCATTTTGACTTAAATGTGAAATTTTTACAACAAATAATTGTAATGGATATTAGAATTATTTACTTTAAATCTCGATAACTGATTGCTGTTACTGACAATTTTAAGACTAGTTATTTTCCAGGTGATAAAGGAATATTCCAAGTTTTTGCTAAAAAAAAATTACAACTTTCCCTAACTACCAGATTTCAAAAGTCAAAATAAAATTCCTTCACAATTTATGGTTTTCCCTGGGGGATATTTCCATATCCTGATCTTCTGAACTACAATCGCTAAGGGGTCAAATTGATTATAAACTTGTAAATTTACTTTTAAAAAAATTTTGCCCGGGGGTGGCTACGAGTTATACATTTCGAGTTGGTCCCTTTCTGTGACGTTATTTTAGTTTCAAGCGGGGCCACTGTCCCAAAATTGCCAAGACTTTGTGATCATTCGGCCACAGTTCAGGATACTGAAATCTGCCCTATAGCATTATATAATAACTTAAATTTACACCATTGAAAATCTAAATTACTAGTGTAAGAGTATTTAATAAAATGATTGTCTTATATTGTCTTCAATTGAACACATAAAATTTAATATTGAATGAGCATGGAATGATGATGCAGACTAAATATATCAAATGGACAATAAACATAGATAAGAAAGAGAAGTTCAGGCAAGTTTTAGGGGGATATTTTTGTATCTTGAGCACAAACTACAATCGCCAAGGTGCCAAAGGTTAAATTTGCATATTTAAAAAAATTTATATTAGAATTAATCATTTTCAAGCTAGCAAATGAACCAAAACAAGTTAAGCACCAAAACTTGTCAAACCTTCCATTAGTACAATTTCATCTGGACGAGACTGTCTGGATTTCGTTTGGCATATCACTTCTTTAGAAAAATCAGAGCCATGTTCACTCTCATATATGACTAACAAAATATTTGGTTTATAAGTATGATACATGCAGTACGAAATAATAAACGTGAGACTTAGATATCGCGAATAAGTAAACAATTGATAAACGAAAGTCATACGCATTAAAAAAAATTTAAACGCTCTACAAAAAATATTCATCAAATACAAAAAATTTTATTAATTCTTCAAAAAAAATTTTTAATTAGAGCATTCAAAGGAAAGGATAGAATTTGACTTACATTTCAACATCAGACATGGTTAATCAGCGATAAGTTGTCAACTCTGTAAAACAAAAAATAAAGTTTTAGGTCGATTTAAAAGATTTTTAAAATTAAAATTTTGAGAGCTGATTAAAATAGATTGCTTTGGTAAGTATACTCACTAAATTTCACGTTTCCTCCAACTTAACCGCTTCGCGTAAACAACACAATAAACTCAGTGGAATGAATGAATATAAAATAAGAGGAGTTTAGTTGTCATGGTGATAGTCAGTCAATGAGGAGAGAAACATTCATTTTAACAATACTTTTACGCATATGCGTTCAAAACTGTGCAAATTATAGTTTGGCGCTGGTGAAACGTATGCAGAATTTAGGGACCATTCACACTTTATCTGCCTACGTGTTTTAACACGTCAATGTCAAAAAACAACTTCTGAAACTAGTCAGGGAGCATTTACAATGCATTGATTGCCCAAAAAGCGCGTGAGAATATTTAGAAATTACATGTAATATGAACTGAATGTGCATGAGCGAATCGCAATGATGCATGATCGCCTTTATGGGAATCACATGCGGTAAGAAAGCAGTGTTTAAATTAACTCATTTCTTTCACCTGAAGCGTGTGGGGAGTCATAAGAGAAGGAAATACGGCAGTTTTTCTCTTGATTTTCTAATAGATTAAAAACTTTTAAGTTAGGAAACTATATAAAACTGAAAACTGCTTTGAACACAATTGAACTTTTTGAACATAATTCTAAAATGCTGTGTCGAATGCGACGCGAAAATAAATATTTCCGATAGAATGGTTAAAACACGATACGCTTGTTAGAAAGATTGCAACTGTCGATCATTGTCTTACTCTCCTTCCTATAGTCATTGTCCCTACATACCTGAATGCGAGTTGTCAAATAAAACTGATATTCATGACCTGATACGGGTGTTACGCATGAACAGCCTCAATACTTAGCTAGAAATGGTTGAATGTATCGTTATCAGTAGTCAATATTGGTCAGAAAAATGTCTATATTTGTATTAAGACAAATCAAAATTTTACCAAAATAGAGTTGTCCATTTTATCTCATATTTAAAGTTAACATTACACACAACGCATTAAGAGAATCGATGTGCATTTTTAAACACTATTCAACATAAACTCTGTTAAATTGTGTCGGTCTCATATCATTGATTGTATTCGTTGCCTCTTTGACAGTGGGGACAGAAGTAGAATAAAATGGAGACTGCGACTTGTTTGTGTGATATGATATTTTGCACTTAGTTTAGGGGCTTTAACCAAGGGAGTAAGCAATAATAACTAGTTAAACATGTACTTAAATGGTCCTGTCTAAGTCTTAAGCAAAATTTAGACATTTATAAATCTTGGTTACTACAAATATGCTCCTGTAGGATCTTCGGCAATCGGTATATACAATGGTTGATTAATATTTTCATCATTTTAACATATTTCGCTAGTTTTTTTTTTAGAACTTATAACAAAACCTAATTTTAACACTTTATTACAGAACAATAAACACAGCCTGATCTCATTCTTAAAACTGACAAGTTACAACTTATTTAAACTTAAAAAATAAATGAATAATAATAAAAAAATATATTGTTTGGAGTAAAGTGTTGGAAGTACATTTTTATATTTTTTCAATCACAATTGAAACTCATGGTTAAATAATTCAGCATCATCTAATGTTGAGATATTCTAGGTAAAATGCTGCGACAGATCAGTTTGCTGATACAAAACTGAAGGAGAAAGTGGCTGAAATGGAGAAAATCACATGGCATGTACAGAAAATCACTCAGACAGCAATAAAAATACGACTTTTTAAAATTCAATTTCTCAGGAACTATTCGACCGATTTTACTCACATCTTGTAACTCATCACTTAAAAGTCCTTTCTTTAATAAGATAAAAAATTATTTACATCACAATTCAAAAAATTTTCCATCCTTATTAAATAAAGTAATAAAAGATAACAAGTATTAACTAAAAATTAGTTTTTGCATGAAATTATTTTTGATAAATGGTTTTTAATTGCCAAACTTTTTCAATTCGGTTTAAATGCTTTCGAACCATGGTGAATTACGAAAATTAACATTAAAGGGGTACAAACTTTGGATCGCTCTACTGACCAAATTATTGGGACCATATTTTGTGGGCCAGAAATTTTAATCGGTCTAAAAAGTCTGTTTTTGAGTCCAATTTCGTAACTTAAAATATTGTCTGCATAAATTAATTAGCATATTTGAGGTCCATTAGATGAACCATTAAGATTGAACTCTTGAACGTGAAGATCTGATCATTAGATTAAATTATTCTCAGTGGTCTGTTTTTTTTTTTATTTTGCGCACTGTACACTTAAAACAAGAATTTAGGTCATAGAAGTTGATATAATATTAATTAGTGTTATTTTTTAGTAATTTAATTATTATTATTGCAAATTTGCTAACTAAGTTATTTAAAGAGGAATTAAGGTTAATCCAGAAAATGCTAACAACTTCAAAATATTTGCAATTCTTTTTAAACAGTTTTAAAGATATAATTTTGAGAATTCAACACAAGTATTAAAAATTAGAGTAAACGCTTTTTACCATAAATTTTTTTTAAGGAAAACATTAGTGTTTTATGTTACATGATGCATTACTTAAAGCAGATCAATAATAAAACATTGTTTTTCGTTTTTTATTTTTATTTTTTTTTATTTATTTTTTTAAATTTTTTTTATCATTATTATATTTATATCACATTAAATATTAGTTGTTCAAAATCTTTGAATTTTCATGACATAGTAGGGAAAGTTTTTAATGTCAAAAACAGAGTCCGCTTTTTAGGTGCTCAATTCACACAATAGTCAGCAGTCTTTCAATATCTGTAAATTTTTATGCCATAGTCGGGAAAGTTTTCAATGTCAAAAACAGAGTCCGCTTTTTAGGTGCTCAATTCACACAATAGTCACCAGTCTGTCAATATCTGTAAATTTTTATGACATAGTCGGGAAAGTTTTCAATGTCAAAAACAGAGTCCGCCTTTTAGGGGCTCAATTCACACAATCGTCACCAGTCTTTCAATATCTGGAAATTTTTATGTCATAGTCGGGAAAGTTTTCAATCCATCCGTTGAGGGGCTCATATCACACAAAAATTTTTCACATATCTGTTGAAAATGTCCAGAAAGTACAAACGTTCAAAATATGAGCAATTTAATCCTCACATTTATTAGGATCATTTTCGATCTCAGAATCGCCAGTGTCATTTGGATCACCGGAGAAGGCTGCATCAGGATTTTCTGGCTGTGGAAAAGTAAATAATAAAATGAAATTGCTAAACATCAATTCACAAATCATATATTAAGAATATAATGAAAATATGACTTAAATGAAAAAGTTCTGAAGCAAAGGATTAAAAACAAAACAAAATGTTACATTTTCGTATTCTCTGAAAATAACCTAGCTGTTACAAAAAATATCAATCTATGTACATCTGCGTGAATTTAAAAAAATAAATAAATAAAAATCAGTTCTAAGTAGATCGACGTTAATTATAAAAATAAGTAATAGTAGATTTTTAAAATGTTAAAAATTTGTAAACAAATTTAAAAAAATTAAAATTTTAAATACTCAATAGTTTTTGTCTAAATATTTCCAATAGACTCTCTTTACCTAATAGTCTATTTATAAAATGGAAATGGGCACTTTATCATTGCTTTAAAAACGTTATTTTTAATATTAAGGGAATTATAAATAGCTATAAAATTTCAACTAATTTTTCTAAAAATAATTTTGTTAGTGAACAATTTTAAAGGAATTAATAAAAGGTAAGGTAAAATAAAATTTTTTTCTGTGTAAGCCATATTGGAGAATAAATAATGATATACACTAAATAAAATTCTAATTTGTAATAGGAAAATGTATGAAAAATACACTACTTCACTATACTAAAAAGACCATTTTGAATGAGATTCGATGCATTTGAAAATCAATTTGGTACATTTGATAATTTTTTTGAATTTTTTATTTTTTCTTAAAAATAGAAATGTCAACTTTAGATATGTAGTGAAATGTAGTCCTCCTGGTAGTTCTACCAGATACTGACGAAAAAAATTTGGTAACTATTTTATCTCGTGAGATTTGAAAAATAAGTTTTTCTAAATCAAAATGAAAGATTTATGATTGAAGAGCTATATCCTTTCTTATTTCTTAAAAATTTAACATCGTAATCTCAAAATTTATATTAAAAAAAACTTTTACTTTACCAATGTTGAGCACAACACTGCTTTTATTTACTTTTTTAAAAAGAGAAAAAAAACTTGACTAGCACAAAATCGGCAAATCAACGCTAATTTTTTTTTTTTAAGCGAATACTTTGATATTGATTGTGAAATGATGGAAATTTGGGATTTTCTCCTTTTAACATAGCGGATTTTTTTTTAAATTGATGAACCTTATAAGTTATGTTAAATTATAGTTTATTTTAAGGGAAATACCTTTATTTATAAACATTGAAAGTTTAGAATGAAAAATACATATTTATTTATTAAATTATTAAAAATTACGAACTATGCAATATTTTCTATTATTTGATTATGCAAAAATACAATATATTTACATGAAGTATACAAATTTTGTGCAATTTTCTGGAGAGAAAAAAACTTGCTTCTGTTTACATTTATTTCCAAAATAAATAGATTGATGTAACTTTGCACTTTTATAGATAAACAAAATTCAATTTTACGAAAATATTTTAGTTTTTTTAAATGCTGTAAAAATATTTTTTGACTCTATGCGATACGCTTTATGCTTAAAGAAGCTAGTCATTTCTCGCTAGTAAAAACTTGTATTTTATAAAAAAAATATACTTGTGAGATTTAAATCTACTTCAGTGAGCTCTACTGAAAATTCAGGCTACGATTCCAGATGGTTACATGCATTTAACAAGATTTAAAAAAATGTTGCCATTATTTATTTGAATTTATAAAAAAAATCAAAATATAAGATTAAATTACAAATAAAATAGTATAAACGACGCGGGTAAGCATCACTAAATTACCTGAGCCAAATTGAGATCCAGGTATTCTGATCCGATTCTCCCCACGAAGGGTTTAATCACATCATAGTTGTCCAATACAACATCTTTAAAATATGATTTGTGGTTGAAGGGTTTTCCCCTATTTTTCTCAACCACATCATATTCCTTCAAATAGCCATACTTTTTGACGCCAGATCTTTTGACGTTGACTCTAAAATGAAAATTGAAATAGCAGAACGCGGGCTTTTATCATCCATTTTACCCTATAAAACTATGATTTCACTC